TTAGGACGAGGGGATCACCAAGTAGGCCTTTTTGCTTCGAGGGGGGGGGGGTGATCGCTCTGGACTGGGTTTGATTTTTCTGGTTTGTGGTTCCGGCGACCATACGCTTCGACGTCTTTTCTCTGCGATTGATCTCTGCGTGCGCAGGATGTAGACTTGTGTTCGCTGAGCTGCAAGCTATTGGCGTGAGGCAGACCACTGTCTCGTTTAGGGGGAAAGCTTTGAGCAAGATTTGCTGTGAGTGGGTCACGTCAGTTTCCAGACGTATGACCGGGACGAAGGCGTTTCGGAGAAGCTTTGAGTCCTTCGAGGGGTAGGAGGGGGCGTTCTACTTTTCAATAAGGAGCCTAAGGTTCAGGGGTTTATTAACCGATACCCCGCGGAGACCTTCGCAGGATCGCTTTAGGGATGGAGCCAATGTGATGAGCTTACGGGCTGTAGAAGGGAAGTCCATATCTACCACGAGGCCGTGAGGAGTATTTAACTTCTTTGGAATAAGCAAAGAACATCTGCCGGGCTTGAAAACCGTCGTATTCAAATGTTTTAAGATTACCTTTAACATTTCCTGGTGTGTTAAGGAGCTTGGGAAACGTCCCCAGAAGATAACCCATTTCGAAGCAGTTGCGTCTGCTGTATCCAGTATTTTCTGCTCGGAGACTCTGATTGCTTGGTCCGCCGCCGAGTGAACCGGGAAGTTCAACATGAGGGCGTTGAGTTTGGAAGCCTGGTCACTGAAAGTATTTACTTCAGCCTTCGGTTTCTCTAGCTTTAAGGTTTTTTCCTGTATGATACCTAACATTTCGGCCTGCAAAAGACTTTTATCCATGTCTATCACAGGCTTATCTAACCTCATGGGGAAGGTGTACTCGTCGGAGGACGCGAGAGGTTTTATCAACCGTCAAAAGATTGGGCCGTGTAATAAAATGTTTTTTGTGGGTTGAACTAAATTAATGAGAGTTCAGTGAGTATAAACCTTCAAGAATTACACAACTCGATAGCGAGGTCAAATTTCGAACGTACCGCGTCTCAGTTCCTGGAAGTGAACTGAAATAAACGAAAGCCAAACTCCCTAATTTCAAAACCTCCGCCACTGTTAAGTGTAATAAAAAGGTGACTGATTCATGGTTGTAAAAATATTCTTCCATCTTTGCTCAATTGTTGTACCAATTATATTCAGACCTTGTTTCACTGGTTGACGGTATGTTCTCATTAGGCTTCCTGCCCTCGCGCGCCAAACTAGCAGCTGATTTCTACGGTTGTCCTATCATGCTGGATGATCAATGTGACTCGCCGGAGGGTTGGAATTCCTTGCTGGACGGTGACTTAACGAAGAGTGCTCCTTTAGAAGAAAGCACCGGACTGCCTACTGTGTGTGGCATATGCGAGAAGCCTTTTGTGGATCCCGTCATCCTTAATTGCCTGCACATTTTTGATCGGGAATGTTTACGCAGCTTTGAAAAGCATGACAATGTGGTCTCTTATACGAAGTGCCCTCGATGTGAGGTATTCTCCGGATCTCTGAAGTCCCTCGAACCCTATGACACCTCTATCGTCGATAGTAAGCCGGATGAAGATAAACCGGCAGCCAATGGGAGCGCGGTTCGATGTTCTGTGTGCACGGACGGTAACGAGGCATTGTATAGATGTTTGCACTGTGCAGGAACTCTGTGCGAAAGATGCCGCGGCATCCACAAGGTAACGCATTTTAAAGAGGCTAACCTGTGGTAGGTAATGAAAGTTTTTTCCAACCACGAAATCCTCGTTCTAACGGATGAGGAGAAGAAAAATGCCGATGTTTTGCAAAGAACAATGAAAAATGCGAAACCCGTTATGTGTCCCAATCATACAGAATTTTCCTATCGCCTCTTTTGCATGCAGTGTCACGTAAGTGCAGCAGAGGGGTATCATTTCGTTAGGTACCGTTGTGCGAAATTTGTTTAGATTCGGACCATAAAGGACATATAACGTCGAGTTTGGATCTTGTACCGAGCCATGTTGAATCGTTGCTTCCTGGCATGATAGACGCCTGTACAGCTAAGCAGAAAGAGCTGCGTGATTTGACAGAGTCTCTGCATGGCCTGCTTTCAGACCTGAGTGCTTCCCGCGGGAAGAATAAAGATCGCATTCAAGAAACTTACAACCAATGGAGAATCGCTATTGACAGAGTCAAGGTGAGGTTAAAGTCTGGCACTTATTTCCTTTTTAAGGATCACTTTATGCAACGAAATCGTGAGCTTCATGATGAATTAGAAATGAGGATATGGTCGCGGATTCACGCCGTCGGAAAAATTATCGACCGCATAGACTTCGCCTGCGAATTTTCGAAAACATATCTTATGAAGTGTTCCAACATCGAGATGTGCAAGCTCACTAAAAATGTGGTTGCGTGTTTTGATAGTCTCAGTAAAACCCCATCGATTAATGAAAATACACCAAAGCCCACTTTCTCGCCTTTGCCATGCGTGGCTCACGATGTGGTGCGACAACAGTTTGGAAGCTTCGATTTACCAAACCCTCAACGGTCTGATTCACTGTTCCAGCCTTACACGCGTACAAGCCCTCACTTGACGAATTTGACGAATGCAGGTGATGTTTCCGATGACCTCAAGCGGCTCAGCCTGAAGACAGATGGCTCTATAGGCAACGGCACTGCATCTACGATGAGTGGTAACCCTAATGGACCCCTATCATCGGTGAGTCCCACCGAGAGCCAGGGATCCACTCGGGGTCAAAGTATTGTACCCTTACAGATTGCTCCTGTCGCTGGTAACGGACACATTGATCCATTTATTACAGCGCAGTCCGACTCTAATGTTGTCGCTCGTCCCATAACCAATTGGAGTGATCTTTCTGTTGCCATGAATAATATGGATCATCCGGATTTTTTGACGAATGTACCCCAGATGGACCCATCTTTCCTGGGTACACAGTTCCTGCCACCTGATATGAATCAGAACGCTCTACGACCACTGGCGAATCCAACTACTATGTCCGGGTTGGACTTAGATTCGAGTATGCTCTTGAAACAAAAGCCTCCATTGAATTACAACGCAACACTTTACGAATACTGCAGAATTCGGACTGCCCGGTGTTCTCAAATGAATCTTTTAACAAAGTGGGGTTCATTGGGTTGTGAGCTTGGTCGTCTCAACTCACCTCACGGATTCTGCTTGGGGTTTGATGAAGAAATCGTGGTTGCTGATACTTACAATCATAGAATTCAGGTAATTTCCTAAACCTAATCTGACGTCCCCATAGATTTTCACCAAACGTGGTGATTTTGTGTCATTTTTCGGGGTATCAGGCCGTGTCGATGGTCTTCTTTGGTACCCGAGAAAAGTGGCCATCATCAGACAAAGTCAACGTTATGTCGTATGTGATCGTGGTAATGAGCGATCTCGCATGCAGCTCTTTAGCCGCAGTGGGCATTTTGTTCGTCGTATTCCTATCAGGTATATCGACATAGTTGCTGGTTTAGCGATCAACCAACACGGTAAGTTCTCTCGCTGTCGTCATTGATTTTTTTAGGGCACATCGTTGCCATCGATAGTGTCTCCCCCTCTGTTTTCGTCGTATCCGAAGAAGGTGATCTGATCCGTTGGTTTGATTGCAGTAATCACATGCGAGAACCTTCAGACGTTGCCATACACGGACGTGAGTATTACATCTGTGATTTTAAGGTGAGTTTGGAATGCACTCCAGGTCATTTTATTAACAATTGAACTCGATTCCTGTCGAGTGTGGAAAACTACATGAGGATAGTCGTGTTGATGCTAATATCACTATTCTAATCAATCGTGATTGCGCTCTTGCGCTTAGCTCGTTGCTACGCTACTCAGCCGTAGGTTCCGGTGGCAACTACACTCCAGTTTTATCGGGTGATTTATATGTACCATGAGACGGACCCTTATTGAGAGGAGGATCTGCCGTGCTGTTATACCACCAATAGCGAACTAGACGGTTAGTTAGCGAGCACTTGTTCGTGACTCGACGTGATGATCAGGGATGGGAGTAGATGAGCATTGAAACGCACGACAAACGTGGTTGTGCCACTCAAAAAGCGTACTTTTAGCGGGTTTGGAAGAGTGCAAGACAAACAATTAAAATAATGACGTCAACGGTAGTAGAAACATGCGAAGACACCGCGAGTGAAGCAACGGTGATACCAGGGTCCGTTCCAGTAGGCTTCGCGTTGCTACGGTGCGTTTTGTGGCGGAGGATAAAGTAATCAAGCTGTTTATATTTCCATTATCATGCATGTGTCTGCTCAAAGCCCGCCGACGTCGCCCACCTTCGGCGGGAAGCACCTTGGCTGTCGCCTGCCTCAGTGCCTCACCTATGCTATTGGAGTCTTGTGGCTCGCCGTTCCTTGTCCCAGGGTTTAGGTTATAGGTTTCCACGAATGAACAACATGTGACTATAAGGTATATCCTCTCTGCCATTTATCACAGAAGTGAGTATTAATTTGAAAAAGTTCGCGTTTAAATTTAACGCCACCTATCATTCAATTCTGTTTACTTGCCCTGATCGGTTGATGAAATCCATTTGACGAATACGACCTGGAGAATATTCATCTGATGCTGTGCTGCATTCTGACAACAGTTTTGCCTTGTACCGATGGAGTTTGTAAACCCAAATCAATGGTTTTAGTATCACCCGTTTGTTTTCCTGACCGCGTGTATTACTGTGTGAGCCACGTTTATGAGACGAAAGTGTGGTGTCTGCATGGTTTCATAGTAAGGACTAGTTGAACGGGTTAGGTTGGTATACGTGTGATATTCGTGTAAATTGATGTATCTGCATCACAAAGCCTGCTAGCTAAAACGACTCTCTCTCTCTCTCTCTCTCTCTCTCTATATATATATATATATATATATATATATATGATATTACGTTATATATATATATATCACTAAGTAGTATATGGGTGACTGGACAAAATTTCCTTGGAAGCGCACCACTGGTTTCGCGTTTCTTGCCGCTCGTCAGGCTTGCGTATCTGGTTATCTTTTGCCAGTTTATTCATGTACTTATACCCAGGGAGTGTATTATTGTCACAACCCTGTTGCAACATCGGGTAGATAGCATTGGATAGACAGCTCTTTTAGAGCCAGTCCATTGAAGAGTCATTGCTATGATTCAGTGTTTTGTACGTGGGTTAGGTACTACTAACCGCAACAAACGAGAGCTGATGGTTTTTGTAGAATACTTCACAATGAGTAGTATATATACGACCGGCTCACGAGCACGCTTGGTGCCAACGCAACAACAAAAATAAGAGGGGGGTGGGGGCCAAACAGGTAAGTTGAATGACGGGGGTAACGAACGGCCATTCTCATCCCTTGGGCCCCAACCTGGTAGGCGGGCTTCACCAACCGAATCCGAAACTGAAGCCATCTTCGTGGCCCTTCTTCCAGTGTTGCCCGGCACGTGGAAAGAGAACACGGCTGTATGGACGAGGTCGTCCACTTGTTCCGAAGAGCTCTGGTCGCCGGGCTGTATAGCAGTGATCATAAAACTTTTCCTTTGATGGGGATAATTTAACTCTGATTTGTTTTGTGCATAGCTTATAATCAGACGGATATGAAAAATATAATAGAATGGCCATGACCAATACTGAACTATTTTGTTTATCGCACCGATGAAACAAATCTGTCTTTGTAAGGTTGCTGAAAAGTGGGCTCAACTTATTACAACACCAACAAACGGCTGCGTGACGGAAGGGTCGAAGTTGAAACACTTGACTAGTGATTGCGCTACATGAACTGCAGCGAGACAGGGAAAGAGTTGACATTCTCAAATGTTTTGCATTCAAAGACAAGTTCGTTGGCGGTGGGTGTCAGGAAGTCGATTAGCTCTAGATTATCAATATCGTCGGGCTGACTACGTTCTAAAAACGTGTGCATAGGAATTGTTCAGCAAAAATAGGTTAATTGTTTCCAAGTGTCAAGTCGACATCAAATTTGTCTCGTCGAAGGTGACATTCCAATATTCGTCGCGGGTCCGTGACAAAATCCCCTGGTTAAAATTTGTGCTTTACTCGACTCGTAATTACGCAACATGAGCAGCAACGCAGAAACATACACTATATACACTTGAAAAGTGTTTAGATGAAGAGAATATAACTGGATAAAGGAGGTACACCAGGAAAAATCTCAACGCTATCTGAAATTTTCGTATGGTGAATAGTTACATCGGATTTCTGTTCATAAGGGAGGGAGGGGGGATTGGTAGATGTATAACTCAGTTTTACCCAGAAAGCAACGTTCGATCTGCGTAGAACATGTACTAAGTTATGTTGGAAAATGGTTTAATCTAAATTCGTGACGGTAGACTGAATTCATTTTCACCTGTTCGCCAAGCTTGAGAATTTCTTTACAGACTAGCTGACATGTTCAGCGCAGACACCTCGATTGGTGAAACATCTACGAAAAGTATTTCCAGGCTGAGCGAACGGGCGATAATTAACAGGTTTACTTACGTCTCAGATAACTGAATCGATCAAAGCGTCAAATTTGCAAATCATTCTGGACACTGCACGGTTATTGGTTGTTCAAACTGAAACACTGCTCTGATCGACTCAATACCGTTCGTCCATGAGATGTCGACCCGAATCCTCGTCCTCTTCGTAAAAAAGCCCCTAGTAATGGCTTTGGTCACCCACCTGTTTGACTTGGGCAATCAATGCTGGCATAATGAAGCACGGAAAGCCATCCGTTCATCAGAGTATATGTAAAATGCTACGACCTATTTCAGTGGTTCTGCGTTTCATCAATGTTAGTACACCGAAAGACTCCCGTGAGTGTCCGATGCATCCTTGTCACATAATCCGGAGAGAGTTCAGTATAGTGATGATATGCTCTTGGTTGCCTACAAACTTACCCTCACGAGACTGCATGCTTTGTTCGGCAAAGTAGGATTAGCGCTCCGTGAGTATCATAGAAAGTGTTCGTTAAGGTTGCTTTCTCTCCGTTTCTCCTCAACTTTGTCAAGGATTTAATTCCTGAAACAGCCATATCCTCGTGCGCGGCATCGATTTGCCTCCAGGTGGTAGATTGTCCTATCTGGAGTATGCAGACGACATTGTGTGAAGATCCAAGTGAATTGATAGCCTTCCTGGATAGTCTGGGTGCTGGCGTATCTATGTTTTGGTATGCGTTTTGCATCTTGCCGAATGTTGCTACGAGGTTAGGTTGGCCTAGCCCCCAACCTCACCCTTACTGGGGAAGTAGTAAAGGAATGATAAAGATTTTGCTACCTGGGCAGTTGTATCTCACCTGGTGGACGCATCACAGATGAAGTGTCTGCGCGCATACATAGGCTCGGTTGGCATTTGCCAGTTTGAAACCTGTGGCGCCGTCACAACATCCGGCTATTTTAATGGTCGAGTGCAGTTAGGTCAGTGTTGAATTCTCTCCTTGAGTTTACTCTCAACATTCCTAACTTCATTCTGCTCTTTTCTATCCGAATGGGCGACCAAAACTCAGCAACCCTAACCGGCGCACGGTGGTAAATGATTGTAAAACCTGAAGACAACAATCACCACTCCTAAAGCGTTTCTTCACAGGCTATAATTTGAAGAGGTACATTTATAGCAGTTAATTTTTGGTTCGTCTGATGTGAATAACAAAAACATCTGCGGAGATAGTCTTTCCATGACACTGACAATAGAATTACTAGGGTTGGTTTGTGCCAGGCTTATTTAACTAGTGGTGGCCATTATCTTTTGTCCTCCAAAAATCTTGAATATTAGCAGAAGCTATTACTGATGCATCATGTCACTGACGGGTTTCGCGAAACCAGTTACTGAATTTCATATCCCGTCAGGTCGTATCGCATACAGTAATTTGCTATCACTTATCTGCTTCCTGTGCGCATTTTTCGGTTCACTTGACTAACCATCAATGAGGTGACCCATTTTCGTAATAGACTCCAGCGTGGTAAAGGCGGTTTATCCACAATGACCATATTATGGGTACTTGGAGAAATCGAGCCATGATTTTTGAAGCAGTAGGCCCAAACAGCTAATGTGTTTAACCTGAATGGCAGTTCGCGTTTTTTGCTGCATATCTGAAACGCAGCGTGCTGATACTTAAAATCAGCAGAGATTACTTCAGTTTGGGCATACTCATCAAATGGGTTGCCAGGCAGGTAGTGGATGAAAAAAGTCAAGGGTGGTGTATATAAGACCTGGTACGAGAGTATGAAAACCCTTCCCCGGAAAATTGTTTAGACTCCCTGGATAGTGACGTCGGAATCATTGTAATCAACGGATAGAGAAACAGTAATGTGACTGAATGTCGTGAACATAGGCGCTCGTGCATCCCAATTTTTTTGCAACCCTGGTCTCCATTTTCTCTTCGATTTTACTTACAGCTTTCCGGTATTTCTCCTATTACTTCATCCAGATGGGTAGCCAAAACTCCAACCAAAACGGGCTCACCAAAGCGCATGGTGATGCTTGTACAAACTGAGGTGAATTGAACGAGACGCATTCAACTTAGGAACTAAATTGATTTAGTTTTACTGTTCTGGCTTCTCGTGAAGATAGCTCAGTCGAGTTGCTCGGTTTGAACAAATTGGTAATCCATGTGGAGATCCTGAAACTTGATTGCGTATCATCTATTTGATCAATTATTTGAGTGGTTTGGTTGTCCGTTCTCTTCTTTTTTTAAGGCGCATTGCGTAATCGTGTTTCAAGAAGATGGCACTTTCATACGCCGCATTGGTGGCGAGTCGATAACAGATTTCCCCAATGGTATAGATGTCAGTGATCATGGTGATGTTCTAGTTGGTGACTCACATGGAAACCGTTTCCACATAGCGGTTTTCAGCCGCACCGGTGAGCTACTAAGTGAATTTGTATGCAATCAAACAAAAGTGAGTCGCTCCTGCTGCTTGAAGATAACGACAGAAGGTTACGTTGTGACCTTGGCTCGCAGTTCCAACAATGTTTTAGTTCTTGATACTCTTTACATCTGCTGACGATGTTGCTTGACGACCATCGCCTCTGTTCAACACATCAGTGGTGTTCTACCTGGTATATGATGTTCTTCCATTCATTATTGTACTATCATTTATGTTTTACTTCAACCTTTTGTCTTGCTATTTGATTTCATTGACTATTTGTACTCAAGATTATTGTCCAGCTTCGGACGAATTTCATGCTTTGTGGAACAGTCATTTGCCCATACGCCTGTTTGCGACAGGGTGCTCGTGATACCTTTCTTTTTCAAATACTGTATGTTTTTCCCTCAAAATTTTCTCGTTTGTCTTTTCTTATGAGGTTTGTGAAATGTTCAGTCCTTCAGCTTCGGTTTTGCTTGGTGGTTAGACTTGCTTTCCGAGGCTGTATACTCTGTTTTCGCCGCAAAACAACGGAAACTTGGCGCGTTTTATTGGATCGTTTTTCTTGTCTTAGAACACGTTAGTTAGCATTTTATATGAATTGTTTTCATGGTATTTTTGCAATATTTTTGAGATTACGAATTATTGTTTTTGTGTTATTATCCCTATTGTACAAGTATTTGCGTTCCTTAGTTTGCTTAGTCCATTTTAGTCAAGCACTCAGTTTTTGACTTAATGTTTTCCTCAACTATGTCAAACCCTGTGTTCTTGTTTCACTTTCGCAATCTTCACTTACACGTGCCTTTCACTAAACCTCACATGACAGGATGTGCCGCGGCGGTTTATCCAACTGCAACTTAATCTTCCGGCCACTAAGTGTAGTGAATTGCTCAATGTCATATTGGCTTTCTTGCCGTTTTTATGATCTTCAATGCGTACTCGCATTTCACGTCGTTTTTGATTTAGTTTTGGCGTGCTTTTCGCTTTGGGCTTTATAGATGCCAAGTCACTCGTTCTTCATTCCATCAACTTTGCGCATGTACCAGTCACCGTTTTTTCTTGAATTTCGTTTCATCAAACCTCGTCTCTTAAAGCCGCGCACATTTGCGGGCAACTAGGCATCCAAAGACTAAAACTCCAACGTCATATTTGAGCAATATGATTCCATTTTCAGCTTTTCTATAATACCATAAATGTGCCACCTCAATTGTCATTTTGCCCTTAGAGACTTGTCTAATGGCTTATTTTGAAGTTTAAATTTCAACTTGTATTCCTTACATATTGGTTTATTAAATTATCCTTTTGCGACTCAGATTTCTTGCGAATCCTTGGGTCCCTGATAACGCATCTCTTTCATGATCGTGAAAATGTAACTAAGTTCGAGGGAAGCCTGAAAACTGGTGGTGTTTTAAGTGTGGACACTATTGAGATGGCTATAAACCCTGATCCCAAATAGATCAAGTACAGGTGTAGGAACCAAAAACAGCCACACCATTATGGTCGGGGCAATTGTCAACGGTTCAATTGGGAATCGCGGTGTTTGGTGCACCTTAAACGTTTGACTCCGTCCAGAGAGCGTATGATCCGGCAAACTGAACACCGGCCTTCAATGAATTACAGACTCAGCTCCGTCATGCTGCTTTCCTGCTGCGCCTTCCTAGCAAAATGCTTCAGGTGGAGACGAGATTATCCCCTTCCCTTGGTCAGGGCGACCGCAAGTTTACATGTCCACACAATCTATGGACATATTCTAAAGATTTTATCTTCATATGTTGTGGCACAATTGCCAGTTCTGTTATTGGTTGTGTTGAGTAATGATAACAATAAATAAGGATGGATCATCTGGAAGTACTTATAGACGATCTTTTTACCACAAAGCGTTT